TGGGTCCATTTGTATTTCCATATTGCAATGTGTCAACAGTTTTGCTCTATTTCCACCACTATATAACAAGGATCTCTTTCTCTCTGGTTTTCATTGAAATTTCCCTTGTTTTCCTTAAGATTTCTCCACCTTCCTCAATAATGTCTCACATTTTTTCTTGCTATTTGTTCCCAAAGCCAAGACTACAGTTCAGATACCACCATTTATCGCTATATAAAAAACTATCTGAAAATTTGCTACCTTAGAACAAAAAATACCTTTGGTTATATTTATGGATTCCCTAGATCAGAGACTTTTTGTTTGTTTTTGCTTTTGTTTTTTGAGACAGGATCTTGCTATATATCCCAGGCTGACCTCAACTTCACTGTCCTCCTCCCAAGTGCTGAGACGCCAGCATAGTGCCACCAAACCTGGCATGGGTCGGGGATTTTGACAGAGTTCTCCATCTGTTCAGACCACTAAAACAAAAATCCCATAGACTGGGCAGCCTAAGCAATATTATTTCTCACAGTTCTGGAGACTAAAGAGTCCAAGATCGAGGCAGCATTAGATTTGATGTCTGGCAAGGACCCACTATGGGTGTTCTCACATAGTAGAAAAGATGAGAGAATTCTCAGAGATCTCTTTTTTTAACATTTTTATTAGTCTACATTAGTTGTACAAGGTGGGGGGGTTCATTGTGACATTTACAAACATGCTTAATGTATCTTAATTAGATTCATCCCCTCCCATTCTCCCTCATCTCCTCTTCCTCCCTTCTTTTTTTTTTTTTTTTTTTTGGCAGTACTGAGGCTTGAACTCAGGACCTTCACCTTGAGCCACTCCACCAGCCAATTTTTTGTGATATGGTTTTTTGAGATAGGATCTTGTGAACTATTTGCCCAGGATGGCTTTGAACCACAATCCTCCTGATCTCTGCCTCTTGAGTAGCTAGGATTACAGGCATGAGCCATTGGCTCCTGGCTTAATCCCCACTTCTTAGGACAATTTCAACAAGTTTCTAGGGTCTCTTTCATAAAGGCACTAATCCTACTTACAAGGCCTCCATTCTCATGATCTAATCACATTCCAAAGACTCCACTTCTAAATTTCATCACATTAGGGGTTGGTATGATTTGCAAAGGAAGACAACATTTATTCTGCAGCAGTAGAACAGGACATCTGGTGTTGATTTGGCACTGAGATCTGGAATCACCTAGCTGGAATCATCACTCAAATGTCTGGTACTGGTCTAGGGTGATATAAAAAATGTTATTGCACACTGAAGGGCCTACTATAGCCTCCTCCCTATGTGGCTTGTCTCCTCACAGCACAGTAGACTCAGAGTACTTGTACTTCCTACATGGTAGCTCAAAGGTCCAAGTATGAACATTCCAGGAAACAAGACAGAATCCAACCTTGAAATCACATAGTATCCACCATGCTCCATGGATTGAAATAATCAAAGCCTATCCAGATTTAGATGAGTCAGAAGAAGTAGGCTTCACTTTTTGCTGAAGAAGTAGCAAGGTGAGGTTACAGAAAAGCACGTGGATGAGAAAGAAGTTTTACAGGAATCTTTTGAAAGTACAATCTACCACATCCCTTTGAAGTTAGGTGAAGTTATGACACACTATGGTCAGTAAAACATAAATAATGCAGCCTAATTGATGGTGCCTGACTCTGCAGTCCACTCATCCTTGCTGTGGCAATTGCAGAAGCAAATGTTGATACAGAAATGCCACAAAATCAAAGCTTCATGGAAAGTTGAGCCACTACATGGAGGACAGCTATCCCAGTGGGTCATCTGAGCCCACAATAGAATCTGCATGATTAAGAAGTAAATTGACTTAAATTAAGCCACCAAGATTTCAAATTGCTTGCTCTTCCAGCAATATGCTACACTAGATGATAGCTACCCTCTGGCTAATATATTGCAAAGCCAAAATGGCATGAGCAAGAATACAAAATCTATTCAGCCTCCTCAGACAAGGGCTAGAAGGTTAATTGACAAAGAGAAACATCCTTACAGCACAGTCAAGGATTCACACACGCATAGTCATTGACTTTTTTATGAATGACTTAAAAGAAAGCTGCAGTTAAGCATGACCCTTTGCCCTTAAATCCTTCATTCTGCATCTGTCTAAACTCAAGGACATTCTCCTAAATATGCACAATACTTTTATTTCATCCAAGGCATTTAGCATTGGTACAATCACATAGAGTCCGTATTTAATCTTCTTCAAGAACTGTCTTGTCTTTGTCTTATTTATGATCTAGGATGCAGTGCAGTCAAGAGTCATCATGTTGTCATGGCTTGGTGGCAGTGTTTTTTGAGGGGTTTTGTTCTGCTGCTGCTTCTGTTTTGGTCTTCTTCAATCTAGAACAGTATTATCCCACCCTTGTTTTATATTTAGCGAGATTAATGTTTTTGAAGAGCGTGTGTCAGATGATTTTAGAACATGCCATCAACTGGGTTTGTCTGACTGTTTCTTTATAAATATATTTGGCAAGAATACCACATAGTTGGGCTAGAGTGTACCTCAGTGGTAGAGTCTAGCATGTGCAAATCCATGGGTTCAGTCTCCAGCACTAAAAAAAAAAAACAAACTAATCTCTTATACTAGTAGAATGTTTGTCTGGACACATAGTAACCCAGAGCATTCTACTGCATTGTGTTCATGTAACACTGACACCCTCAGCTTCAGCGTTAAGAGGGCCATACTCCAGGAGTGGAAAACTGATGTATAGACAGGAAACAGAATTTGTAAGGACTTCGTGGATCAAAGCAGCCATATTGCCACGTTTAAGTGAGCGATAAATCTTTTATTCTTTTTAAACCACTGTTATTTCTGTTACTTTCAGTCAAACCTAACAAAAGGAGCAGGTACAAAGGAATTAGAAAAAAACTAAGTATGAGATCTTTGTATAATTAAACCCCGAACTTCTAGTTATATGAGCTAATAAATGAACTTACTGTTTAAACCAATTTGAATTTGGGGTTTGCTGTTGTAATAGTTGTTACATATCTTGAAACATCCTACCTGACACGCAGAATTTATCAAATATATGAAAATGTGTAAGAAGACAGAAGAAACAAACAATAAATCCAAATGATGAAATTGCAAAGAAAGCACTTTTATAAATAAGTAAGTCAAAGCAAGAAAAATTAGGGACAATTTTCCAAGAAAAGGATATTTATCACCTCACTAAAGTATAAAATATATTTATTTATCTTTTTATTCCTTTTCTTTTTTCTGAGGGGAGAGGGCAGTACTGGGGTTTGAACTCAGGACTTACTAGGCAAGTGCTCTACCACTTGAGCCACACCTCCAGTTCATTATAGTCTTAATCTGTATAGAATTAAGAAATATATAAAGGACTCTATAAATTCTTGGAAAATTATTTATTCATATCAATATTAATAAAATGGATAAAATTGAATTATTACTTTTCACAGATGTACTAGGGACTCTATAGTAATAGAAAAAAGAAAATCATGAAAAGGAGAAAACATTAAAGTGCTTGACCCAAAGATATTATGGGAGAGCTAAGAGAAGCCAAAGGCCCTGGACATTGTATCTGAAATATTCTTGACAGGTCATCCTATATTTCTTGTGATCTAAGAAACAGATTCCAAAATAACAGATTAATTGGTTATGTGAAAAGCTCTCCCTATTGGAAAGCCAAGTATGCTGGAGACTCAGGTCCTCCGAGACTTAAAAAGACACCAAACCTATCTCCCTTGTGAGAGATCCACTATGTAGAGAGAGAAAAAAAAGCAAGTCATCAAATGCTGACTGCCTTTACCATGAGTTATTTCTCCAAATGGAAAGACACTATTCAAAAAATATCCTGGAAAACTCTGAAAGAGCCCCCAAGGTGGAATGAACCAAGGACTCTCAACTGCAAAAGTATATTGATCAATGTATTGGTTTGTATTTCTAATGAATGAATGGTTATAATTTTGCACAGAATTTGAATTTATGTATATCCTTAAGTATATCTTTGGGTATTAATATTTTAGATTAAGTACATTTTTATTTTCATTATTTGTAGTGATATTTACATACATACAATGCAATGAATCTAGCATCTATTGGGTTATTCTTCTATGCTTATATTTAGATGTGTGGATTTGTGGTTTAGATTTGTGTGTGTAGTTTGAGGATTTGTAATGTATTATGATATAAAGGGATGAAGTTTCAAGAGGCTTTAAGATTCAGAAGTAAGCATTTGAGGAAAATATTGTCATCTTCCCAAGCAGTTTTTAGAGAGATCCCCATGTGTCTGGATAGCTGAATGCTTTACTGCCATTAGGCGACTGAAAGAAATGTTCTCTCAAATTTCCTCCCAAGAAATGAAAACTTTAAAATTCATCTGATAGTAAGATGACAGAAAATGAGAGGGGCTGAATGGACCTGGAACTGAAGTAAGACCTGAAAAGAGGGAAAATGGGGGAAGAAGTCAAAACTGGGTCAGAAAAGAGACAACTTGAGAGGAAAAGAGAGAGAAACAGGTGAAAGAAAGACAGAACATAAAGGATTCAAGAGGGACGAGAAGAGGCAAGGGAAGCCCCTTGACTTGAAATGGGACTTTTCATGCCCTCATGATGGAACAAATTCTTTGAGCAAGAAAACACCTGCTGGGAAGAAATTCAGTTCTCAACCCTGCAGCAAGATGGGAAAGGGAGAAAACAATGAAAGGGGGCTAGAATAACCCAACCCTCAGCCCGAGAGACACTAAAAACAGAGTTCAACGTGTTCCTCTGAGAGATAGGCACTGTAGGGAAAGATGGAGTGAGGAAACGAGGCTCAGAGAGACAAATACTCACTTAGGTTCCAAGAGTGGCCCGGGGTGGAACATGGACCTGAGACCGGGCTGCCTCATTTCAAAGGCCCTGATACTCTAAAAGAAGGGAGTTTCGAGGCAGAGGCCCAGACAGAAAGAGGTCATCTTTGCCTTCTTCACAATTCCGCAGTGGCCACTCTTCCTTGCCATTTCTGTTTCCTGTGAGCAGGATGGGCTCAAACACCTCCATGGTGACCGAATTCGTCCTGGTGGGCTTCTCCGGCCTGGCCCACCTCCAGGGCTTGCTCTTCTCCCTCTTCCTCACCGTCTACCTGCTCACCGTGGCAGGCAACCTCCTCATCGTGGTGCTGGTGTCCACCGACGCCGCCCTCCAGTCCCCCATGTACTTCTTCCTCCGAATCCTCTCGGCCCTGGAGATCGGCTACACGTCGGTCACTGTCCCCCTGCTGCTTCGCCACCTACTCACTGGTCAGCGCCACATCCGCCGCTCGGGCTGTGCCCTCCAGATGTTCTTCTTCCTGTTTTTTGGTGCCACCGAGTGCTGCCTCCTGGCAGCCATGGCCTATGACCGCTATGCAGCCATCTGCGCGCCCCTTCGCTACCCGCTGCTGCTGAGCCGCCGGGTGTGTCTACAGCTAGCTGGGGCAGCATGGGCCTGCGGAGCCGCGGTGGGGCTGGGCCACACCTCCTTCATCTTCTCCTTGCCCTTCTGCGGCCCCAATGCCATCCCTCACTTCTTCTGCGAGATCCAGCCCGTGCTGCAGCTGGTCTGTGGAGACACCTCACTCAACGAATTGCAGATTATCCTGGCTGCTGCCCTCATCATCCTCTGCCCCTTTGGCCTAATCCTGAGCTCCTATGGAAGAATTCTGGCTACTATTTTCCGGATCCCTTCTATTGCCGGCCGCCGCAAGGCCTTCTCCACCTGCTCCTCCCACCTGATCGTGGTCTCCCTCTTCTATGGTACTGCCATCTTCATCTATATACGTCCTAAAGCCAGCTATGATCCAGCCACTGATCCCCTGCTGTCCCTCTCCTATGCTGTGGTCACCCCTATTCTCAATCCTATCATCTACAGCCTGCGGAACACTGACGTCAAGGCTGTCCTGAAGAGAACCATCCTGAAAATGGGGACTGTAGAGATTTGACAAACGGAGTGGGGGGCGGTAACTATTGCACCAAACTCCCAGTTAGCTACAAATTATCGAGGATCAAGGGGAGAGGAGACATGGATTACACCTCTTGACCAGCCTGTCAAGAAGATATATCTTTAAAGAGCTTCAGAGGCCAAACCCCCCAATCCCCTTTAAAACACATACTCTATTCTGCCTTCTGTTTCAGGAAACCCAGGATGGAGGATCAATTTTACAAGCACAGCAATTTGACAACTGGGAGAAAAGTGACAAAATATCAACCCCACCAGACTACCAAAGTAATAAAATTTTCAGCCATAATAATGATCTTTAAAGTCTTTTGATATTTCTACATTTGTTCATTCCCTGGGTAGTATTGCTGTCTAATATGGAAGCGTATAATTATACCTAATAAAATCTATTGCCAGGCAAAAAGCGAATCTCTTAAGGAGTGAGGAGGAAGCAGAAAAGTCTGGATGAAGGTAAGTTCTTATGGAAGTCAATATGACATGGTGGTTAAGAGAATAAATTTTTGTCAGATAGACTTGAATTCAGGTCTTAATTCTTACACTTAATTAGCTATGTGACCACAAATGATGGAATCTCTCTGAGCCTTAACCTCCCTATCCAAAAAAGTTGTGATAACAATACAGTCTTTTTCTTTGGGGTTTTATGAGGATTCATAGACTTGTAAATCAATCACCAAGCTTAGTACAAAATGGTGCCTTGATAAATGTTTTTATTAGCAAGTCAGATCAGCACAGAAGACAATGTCCATCTCACACGGCATGCTTTTGGGGAGGGCAAAGAAAGACATTCATAGAATGTCAGTGGCCCTGGGTGCCATGAAACTTAAAGGAAGGCAAAGAAAGAGACTTCACATGACAAGGCTCAGGAAAGTTCTACCCAGCACAGGGTAAGGCGAAACAACCAGGACACTGAAGAGTAAATGAAATAACAATAAGGTGCAAGAGTCGATGAGCAGCAGAACAAATGAGAAAAAATGAAAGGGTTAGTCAAAAAAGACATCTCCATAAGGAGACATTAAGAATTCATTAATGATTAAAATATCATCCACATACTTTATCATTGCCAACAATGTATTTGATATTTACTGTGCTGACTCAGTAGTGAATACTAAGTAAATACAGGGTGTTTGTAAAATTGATTCTCCATCCTGGATTTCTTGCAACAGAAGGCAGATGGGAGTCTGTGTGTTGGGGGGGGTCTGAGGACTTTGGCCTTAGTAGCTCTTCAAAAGTGTCTTCTTGACACCGTAAGGAATACCAAGTAGAGAGAGAAACAAGGCAAAATAAGGAAATGCTGTGCTCAAAATTTCAAAGTGAATAGATGTAAAAGTGGTTGTTCCCCCACTTCCTGGAGAGGCGATATGGCCTTCCCCACACTCATTTTATCAATGAGTAAAATCTCAACACAATTGCTTTTCTGTACTTATCAAAACTTCAATACAAAGGAACAGCATTTAGGAAGAGTTGCCTAAAGGACGGGAAAAACATATTTTTCCGATAATCCTTGAAAATCTTAAAGCTGGGCATGGTGGTACATGCCTGTAATCCCACCACTCGGGAGGCTGAGGCAGGAGGATCACAAGTTTGAAGCCAGCCTGGGCTATGTACTGAGACCCTGTCTCAAAAAACATTTAAAAAAAGGAGAAAAGAAAATTTTATCCCCAGGCTAAAGCAGACCAGCAGAGAGCTAAACATTTTAAATGCATTCTTTTGCACCTCTTAATTATCTCCACCTGCTCATTATTCATAGCACTGTTCTTGCTAAGTGGTGCTTTGGCATTCTGCCATTGGTTTCCATTGGGGAGATTACAAGAAGCAACTGTATGAAACTCTCAGAGGAAAAATGTGTTCCACATCTCCATGATAGGAATCTCTATACCTTCCCTTCATAAAGCAGTAGCTTTCTCAATCATTTTATGGAGGTATCACTGACATATAATAAATTGCAATAAATACAGTTTGGTAAGTCTGGGCATATGGATACACATGAAACCATCAGCCTAGTCATAAAATGACATCTACATCCCTGCAAAGGTTTCGTCTTGTCCCATGGTGGTACCTCCCTTCCATCCCTCCCTGCTTCCTCGAACCCAGGCAAGCTTTGATCTTCTGTCCATCACTACAGACTAGTTTGCCTTTTCTAGAATTTTACATGAATAGACTGATAAAATATGTACCTTTTGATCTGACTTCATTCAACATAATTATTTTGAGATTCATCCACGTTCCTTTTACTTTGAGTGATAGTCCATTATATAGATATACCACAGTTTGTTCATCCACCTGCTAATGGAAAAATTGGGTTGTGTCCAGTTTTTCAGACTTACATAGAAAGCTTCTATGAATGTTTGTGTGCAAGTTATGGTGTGTTTCCACCGCTCTTGAGTGTATACATAGGTATGGAATGGCTGCATCACATGGAAGGAGGTATATGTTTAACCGTCTAAGGAACAAAGTAATCCCCTTTTTTCTCTTTGCATGGTAGCCAATGAGCTTATGCCTGACTTTGTAACTCATGCCCAGAAAATGTGCAACTCCTCACAGTATACTTTAAAATATCCACCTGGTTTCTGACTATTGTACTTTTTTCTTTTTTTCTTTGTCCAACGTCCTTCATCCTAATTTTCTGCATATTTATTTAAGGCACATTCAAATTTTTCTGGAACAAAGCTTAGAGTCATTAGTAGACAAGAAACAAGAATAGCAGGGGTTGTTTCTGATTAGGGAAAGCCCTGGGTTAAGACTGAAGGCCTGTGTAATGAGCTCTACTGTAACTAAAATTTTATATTACCTAAAGTAAACTCTTTTCATCACCTTTCTGCTTTCCAGCTTCATCATAAACAGGACTGAATTAAATGAGCTATGCTGGGTTACTCTTCTGTTCTATGCTTATTTCCCCCCGAGGACCCTCTGCTTCTTGTAACTGATTCTCTCACAAAAAATCAAAATGAAAAGTGTAGCAAATGCTCCTTCTCCACCATCGTTGCCAAGGGATCTTGAGCTACCTTAATCCTGGGCCAAATATAAGTACATTCACTTCATTGCCGTGGCAAACACCAACAAAAATAGGTAGCAAGTCTCTAAATTCATAACCCTTACTTCGCACTTAAAAGAAGTCAAGCAGATAAACTTCTGTTCTTTTATTCACACTGAGATTTCCATCAGAGTAGACATGTGCATCCTTAGCAGTAGAGAAGACAAAGACAAGAGGAGGAACCACTTATAGAAGAGATCTTTGGGTGTCCACAGTCCACCTTCCCCCAAATTTGAGAGACCAAGAGAACAGATGCCTGCTCCAAAAATCTAGTGTGTTTTCTGTCCCATATCTTTTTCTAGTGGTAGTGCTCATGTTTATGAGCTGTATCTAAACAGCCAGCATCTAATCTAGAAACTATCATCTGAGGCTGCATCTCAGAGAGGGCCCTCAGCTCAGTGCCTGAATGAACACTTCCAGAAAGCAGAGCTCATTGGCATGATGGTGTTGTTAGAATGCAGTCTCCTGGTGTGGTGGGTTTGCAAACCAGGCACAGACACTAAATCCTTAACTCAACTGTCTGATAAGATGCGTGCATTTTGATAGATTGCCTCCTAGCGGCTATGGAATTATGACAGACAGACCACCTCCTGAACAACTTGCAGACTCCAACACTATGGCTCACCTTTTATCTTAAGTGAGGTGGGAACCGGTGGTGGTGGTGGAGCTGGGAACTCGGAACTATTGACCTTTTATTATAGTAGGACTGTGGCGCTCAATATTCCATCCCTAGCCAGAAGCGATGCAACACCAATTAATTTAGAAATGAAAATTCTCAGATGCTACCCCAGACCTACTGAATCAGGAATTCTATAGGTAAGACCAGACTAAAAATCTTAGAATGACAGCCTTAGACTCATCTCAAAAGGAATTTGCTACATTTCAGGATCAGAGGATGCCCTTCAGTACCATAGAAGATGCAGTGTCCCAGTATGGCCACATGGTGGCACCACAGTTCTAACATCCTAACATTTAGCAGGCCTCTGCCCTGAAATAGGCAGGCTTCTGAAAATTCATGAGAAATTAGAGAGCCAAGGTAAACATTTTTGTAAACAACAGCCTTAAACCCATCCTGGTGACAGCACAGGAAAGTGAGACTGGTCCAAATAATTCATATAGAAGGAAAAATGCTGGCTTTCTTCCAGTGGAAGGTAACTCGCTGCAGGGAGTAGTTGGTATACAAGAAAACCAATGGGTGGCCCCACACTCCAGAGGTGAATCTGATTCCAGGTGAGGAACTGAGAGGAAGATGGTGCATTTGCCCACATCTTATCACCCTGAGACCTCTTCCCCCGAGAGGAAGTTGACACCATTATGGCCCTGACCACCATCACCCTTTCTTGTGTTTGACTTCTATCCTGAGTCCCAAGAAAGACAAGAAGAATGTCTTGTTTCGTTTTTGTTTAAATTTATAGTTACTCAGACTCCCACCACCTCCTGATAGAAAGGGCAGGGTGAAAATATAATGAAAATTCCATCCCCTATACCACTGAAGCTTAATGGCTTCTTAATTAAAAGTTGAAGGTTTAGGTGGAGGGAAGAGAGAAGCTGATGGATCGATTCAGATTTATGGGATGGAAACATTTGAGGTGGCCACACAACAGGAGGATCACATTCTCCATCTTTAACATCCTCTATGAGGTAGACCAAGCAACTGAGTGAGGTAAAAACCTTAGAAAAAAGGAGGAGGTCAAGTTAGGGAGATGAGAAAACTATTTTAAAAGGCTTCTCCTCCCTCCCCCAGAACCATACCACCTACTACATACTACCTACCTATTACTACCTTTGCTCCATATCAGTGCTCTGGTGACCCAATCCTTCCAAAGGCTATGAGAGGGACTTGGGCAGAAGAGCAGAGGCCTGATTCCCAGAAACCCCAATTAGTCATCATCTACCCCTGGAAATACTAATTACAGCAAATCCTCTTGAGCTCCCCTACTCTATTTCCATTC